ACAGCTGGACAGCTGTGAAGTATAAAATTAATTTGAAGTGTGTCAATGTTTTTTATATCAAATCCTGGTAAAATTTCTTGAGCTTGCAAAGAAATACATGCAACCCATGTATCCAATAGTCCCTGTGGCTTCTGCCATTCTGGAAATGACTTCATATGTATTGATTTACTCTACTACACCTGTCTCATTAGCACACTGACTTTGTTTGTTTTCATTGACATTAATTATGGATATATACTTTATACATGTTTGGTATATGCCTGTTTATCTCAAAATTTACAAGGAAGGATCCTCTATCATTTCACCCTTTAACAGTTATGAAAATTTAGAAAATTGTGAGCATCAACCAATAAAAGATAGAAGGTAAGGAAAAAATTGTCCTTCCCTGTGTCAGACATAGGGCTGGACAATTTCAAGAATGATTATAAATGAACCAAATGTTCCTAGAATATATCATTCTCATAGTTCATTAAAAATTAATACTTTGAGTGATTTTTCTTTTTTGTCCCCTCGAATGCCCATGATACATGTGATTACTTTCAATCTTCTTTAAGATACTGTGTCACACTGAGCGGTGATGACGCACTCTTTAATACTAGCACTAAGGAGAGAGAGGCAGGCAGATCTGTGTGAGTTCCTGACAAGCCTGGTATACAAGAGTTAGTTCCAGGACAGCCTCTAAAGCCTTAGAAACCCTGTCTCAGAAAACCAATAAATAAATAAATAAAAGAAATTATGTCGCATAAATTTATTCAACTCTGTTTGAGACACAGAGGAAGACTAGTAAATTAAACCTCTTCAAATCCTTTGGTTGATTGGAGTTGAGCCTGGGATGTGTCAGGAGACTCCTAGTCCCTCATGATCCAAGATGATTGTCATTGTCTTTATGGGGGTTAATGAGATGCAGACGTCATTAGCCAACCACAGCAGACATGTATGCCAATACATTAATGTCTGTCTTCCTGAGAGTTGTTGAAAGCTACTTTCTACAGATTGAAAATCTACATTTAAGTACTAGACTTAATATTTTGCCTATGTGAAATATCGTATTCTGGGTGTTCACATTTCTAGACCCATCCTAATTGTTCCGTTTCCCTACTCATCAGAAATTCCTGTACTTTAATCTCAGGTAATTAACACTCTAGTTGAACTCTGTTGTTTGGACATGAATGATGATCTTCCTAGAATTGACAACTGTTGAGTAAAGAAAAGTAAACTAATACAAAAGCATATGTACCCAAATTAAGCTGGACAATCATACTGATCTTTTTAAGTCTTCCAAACAGCAAGGGCAATACGTATGAGTGATGTGATAATAAACTTAACAACACATGAAGATATCAGATTTGCACAGATTTATTAAACAGATAGAAGGCAAATAGCATCTGTATATGTCAAAGAGAGAGTAGGGCATAGTTGGATGTGATCTCTAATCTCATCATCTGCTGGAAGTTGAAGAAGATAGAAGGTGTTAATGGAAGGATGATATGATATTAGTAGGGATTCAGCAGGAAAAACAATAGTTTTAGAGCATAGACTTTGACATATGAGAATACTAAGGCTTAACAACTGATTCCATAAAGACCTGATCCACAGATTGGTCTGTAACAAGGTTGGCAGGAGTGAGACACCAAGTAGCTTGGGTAATAATATCTGTACCCATAACCCAGGGAAGGGAAGCCAGTGACTCCACAATTCAGAGATCTGAAGGCACTGGGTCCACAGCCCACTGAGTAACAGCTTCTAGATCCATAGTCCAGGGAACGACAGCTGCTGGATCCAAAGCCCAGAGACCCAGCAAATGTCCCCTGGCAGGGACTGCAAGGTGTGAAGCTCCTGGGGTAGTAGCAGGCTGTCTGGCAGGGATGGGACACCACATAGGACTTCTGGCAGCTAATGGGCTCAATGCAGGTCTCCTGACAGCCACTGCTGAGAGAGGATCCCAGCTGGCAGGTGCTGGGAGAGCAGCTGGTCGTGGTGTAGACCAAGTTGCTGGGGTAGGAAGAGCCACAGGACGAACCTGAGGAGGGCAGGCAGGTCCTAAGGGAGCGGGAGGAGAAGTTGGCAGAGCTGCAGCTGCAGGTCATGTTGAGAGGAGATGAGAGCTCAGATGGACTCAACAGGGAGATTCTGAGTTTGAATGTCACTCTGTGGAGAGCTCGGTTTATATAGTCTCAGCAACAGGTGTGGCACCCAACATTCTCATCCTTGATGCATTTGTGTGCTTCCTGGTTTGCAAATGTGGAACTCGGTAATCTCTGTAATTGCAGTTCATTTGCATAGTTTTCTCCCCATCATGATTATGGGTGTTGTCATTTATTTAAATAAAAGATGATGAGCTACTACTATGCCAGACGTGCCAGCACTGTTGTACACTAATGACCATTTTATCATGTCCTGCAAAGAAATCCCTCCTTTTCCCCTTGACGTAACTTTTATGTGTTTTGTCATAGGATGGTACGAGGAAAATGCCTTTCCTTACAGTGTGTGGTATGACAGTAATTTGCTGCTCTTCTTGTTAATGAATTGAAATCATTTTTGTGTTTCCTATGAAACCCTCTGGATATGCACCTTTTCCAATATTCCATGTGGACTGTATGACTTTTCCCTCTGTCACTTAGTTCTAGGGTCAAGGAAACAATGTGAGTCAAGGAAAACCTAATGGGATGGAACCAAGGAATACAGGAGAGGAGGACGAAGACTGGAGTTTTTGTGATCACAGGTGACAGAACCGAGGCTGAGTCACAATCACTTTACTAGTTAGGTCTCTGACTTCGTCACTTTGTCCAGAGTCCTCCCAAAGGGAAGATTCTGGAGAAGGAAAACAATGTACAAATGCTGAATTTATCAAATCATGTTTATACTTTTCAAAAACAAAATCTGTTGTTTAACACTGGACAATTCAGATGGATGCTTTTTCATGGCCATGTTTAGTTTTGTTGATATTTTTTTCAGTTGCATGCGTTTTTTATATTTTTGTGTACTTTTACATCTTGAGAGAGATATAGAGGGAAAAAATAAAGATAGGTGAATAAGGAGGATCTATTAGCAGTTGGGAGACAAGAAAGGGATCAAAAATATTACATGAAAAATTTAAATAATAAATTATTTCATTAATTAAAACAAAGATTTGAATAAGAGTTTCATTTTGGAGCTTGCATCTAGACTATGTCTGAATGATGTCTACTTAGACCAATTTTGGCCCTCTTCTCATTAAACAGTGTACACTTTCCAAGACTAAAAATGCAATGATAATGTTTATAAAATTATCAATTGATCTTAGCAGATGAGAGAATGTGCTGATGTATCAGCTTTACACATAGCAACACCACTCTTTTAAATCGTTCTCACCCATACTGATAATACTTGTTGCACCTTTACCTAAAGAAGAAATGAAACAATCTTCCCCAATAGCATACAGCACACCAGTCTATTAATGGCAAAGAATATCACCTAGGGTAAGGTAATCAACTTCATATTCGACATATCAAGTTTCTCAAAAACAAAATTCTAACAACTGATTTCACAATCCAGTTCGTAATGGGAAAAAATGTGTATCTTAAGTAATGTAGAGATCTAAGGTTTTCTGTATCTTCTCAATAACTACTTTCACCACTGTCTGTTATATCATTATCATTAACTCTTGGTTTCATTGGCTTTTAATTTATAATTTGAACATACGGCAGTACTTTCATTTTAGGTATAGGTATAGAAAACATTGCATTGCCATCAAAGAACATTATTTAAAGCAAACAAAGAAAAAACATATGCATCCCATTGATTCATCAACGTATCCTTTCATCTGCTAATATTAAGCTCTCATTTTTCAAACCAGACTTTCTATGTTATTTTAACTCTTGGATGTATACATTAGTTATGTGAGAGCAATAACAATGGGATTAGTAGTTATTATTTAGATGTATTCTGAACACAGCTTCCAAAGTAAAACTCTGAGACTTTACAAATAAGTAAACAATTTAAATGCTTTCTTTCTCAACCCTTTTTTGACATGTTGAAGACAAAGTATGTGTCAAGTTTCTTTGATATCTACCAAAAATCATTTTTATTTTCAAAGTTATATAAAACTAGATATGCTGAGACTTTCTGAAGTTGATTTTTGTCTTCAGAATCTCCACTAAAACTGGCCTCAACAAAAATATAAGTCCCTAAGAGTCATACAGCCTCTTCGTGTTTCCCTAGAGTTACTTTCCTTAGAGTCAGTCACCTCCTGGGTGCCGTTCATGCATACGAAGATTTTTATAGACTCCACAGTGTGTAGAACAATAGTTAGCCGAGTATGCTGTGTTAGGAAATGTTTGACAGACTAGTCCATGGTGACACAAACTCAGATGAGAACACTGTATCACCTCAGGACACTTTTCAGATACACAAGGTATGAAATGGTTTACTTCTCTCATATCTTTGACTCTATTCATGAAGGTCAAAATGCCCTGCAATTGTGACTTTGCTTTGTGCTGTCTTTGCTCTAACCACAACGTCAACCACTGCTTTTCTCTCTCTCCTTTAGGGTCAATCTCATTCCATTTACTTTGTTCATACTCTGTCCTCGCCAGTGGAGGAGAAGTGCATGGGAAATGCTACTCATCCACAAAGAAGAGAACTGATGGCAAAAGATATGGTGATTTTCAATATGTTTCAAAGGGAACCCAAGTGATGTCTCCAGTTCATCAACGGAAAGAAGAATGAATTCCTCTCATCCTTAATTATGGAAGAAATGAGTGCTCTTCAGAACATTCCCATGAGGTTTTCTTGGACACAATGAATAAGCAACAGTCATCGCTTCTATGACATAGCAATAGCTCTTTGTCGTAACCATAAAAAAATTGCAACAGTCATAAAAACACTTTTCAGAAAACTATTCACATGCAACTGCACATTTGCAATCCAGGAAGCACACAAATGCATCAAGGATGAGACTGTTGAGTACCACACCTGTTGCTGAGACTATATAAACCCAGCTCTCTACAGGGTGACATTCAAACTCAGAATCCTCTCAATTGCATCCAGCTCAGCTCTCATCGCCTCTCAACATGTCCTACAGCACCTGCTCTGCCAACTTCTCCTCCTGCTCCCGTAGGCGCTGCCTGCCCTTCTCAGTTTCCTCCTGTGGTCCTTCCTACCCCAGCAACCTGGTCTACACCACCACCAGCTGCTCTCCCAGCTCCTGCCAGCTGGGATCCTCTCTCAGCAGTGGCTGTCAGGAGACCTGCATTGAGCCCATTAGATGCCAGAAGTCCTATGTGGTGTCCAGCCCCTGCCAGACACCAAGCTTTTACTCCAGGAGATTCACAACTTGCCGTCCCTGCCAGGGGACATATCTTGGGCCTCTGGACTTTGGATTCAGAAGCTGCCCTTCCCTGGACTATGGATCTAGAAGCTTCTACTCAGTTGGGTGTGGCCCCAGTGGCTTCAGATCTCTGAATTGTGGAGTTTCTGGCTTCCCTTCCCTGTGGTATGGGCCCAGATTCTACTATCCTGCATACTTGGCTTCTAATAAATTCCAACCTTCTTGTTATAGATCAGTCTGTGTCACTGACTTCTAGAATTCAACTGTTAAGTCTCCATATTCTTATAATAGTAAAACTGAATTCACTGTGTCCTGTAGAGAATCTATTATATTCATCTACCATTATCTTTTGGTCTTTCCACTAAAACTTCTTTCATCCTCAAATTCTGTTGGAATCTTAGATCAATGTGTAATCCCATATTATAACTCACATTTTGTGGTATTGATATTCTGCTATTTGATGTTCCTTCAAACATGTTTGAAAAGTGAAATTTTCATCCAATAAAATTGAGCGATCTCAGACCTTAATACTTTGTTCATTCTGTTATTATTTTGATTTTATATTAGTATTTATTTATATCTGGGACTTACTTAAAGATAAAAATCTTCATGCCACTTGAGTTTGAGGGAAATTAATTTGGTTTGGGGCATGTTCCTTTTTTGTAGTAATTAACAGTTTCAAAAATGTAATTTGAAAGATGCATAGACATGAGAATTGAATAGGATTGACATATAGGCCTAGAAAATTATCCATCAAGAGTATATATAATTTATGAGGTTATATATTTTTTAGAAAAAAATATTAATTCTAGTATGTGAATATTAATTTTCAAACAAGAAGAAAGTCAGCTTTCAAAGGCTCTCATGACAGGTACTTCTTTTTATCTAAAATGCTAGTATCTCTGACACCCAGGGTTTAGGCACTATTCCTGCCTATCTTCTCAAAACATTTGAAAGGAGATCACAATGATCTTGGGTGATAATAACTGAGTCCAGGAATGAGGGTAACTTCCTCATGCTTCTCCAACTCATCTTTATCCAACATAGACACAATGCTGAACTCTTTTATCGTTTGTTTTAGTCTGATTGTCAAAGTCAAATTGTTGGGTGTAGTTTGTTTGAAATAGGAACCAGGAAAAGAAAGTTGACCCCAAACTCTAATATGTAGTCCATTAGTATATCAATTCAATCCAAAGGGAGTCCTAGTCTCATGAAACAGATCATAGCTGATGAGGGGGCAGGAGTACACAGGCTGCAATTTTAGATCATCAGAAGTCATGACCCAAGGAAGGGGTAAGGCTCAGCCAGGCCAGGTGATTCTATAACAATATAGTAGGATACCAGGGATGGGGGACTGAAGAAGAATGAATAGCTACCCTGAGGACCATCAAACAAACAGTAACTCACTGTGTGGTATCAAAGTCTAAATCTCTCTATATTGTTTTTTCATAGTTCCTTTTATCTTTATTTCTTCACATACCTTAGTCCCCATTCATTTAACTGAAGCTGGCTTTGGAGTTGGATTGGCTCTCCTACTCTAAACTCAAGCATATTATTTAAATACAATTCAGAATTTCTGTATTATATCAAGGGCCATTGATATAAGACAGAAAAAAATAAAATTAGGGACTGTTATCTGTGGATTTCTTTTTCTGAAAAGTCTAATTTCCTTCAGGTTTACCATCTTCCCTATTGTCACCTCTTCCAGGATGCATACATATAAAAGTTAAAATATTTCTTTGTTAACATTAATGTTTGAGTTTCCCAGAGAACAAGGGATTTCCTGACAGCAATCTTCAACTGCTTCAGAAAGAGAATGAAGATACACTTCCTTGACTTCACCTGATTCGACTGGAGGCATCTGAACTGCCCCACATCATTGACTCCACCTGACAAGCACTATCCCGAAACTGGCTTGAAACTACATCACTCTATACAACTCCGGACCAAGAAACTGAAATAGCACATCTTCTACAATCTGGCCAGAGCTTCAAGATGAGAGCTTCAATCAACACTAGAACCCCAGTCAGGAACTTCAATCATCTCCTGCCATACAGAGACTGTCTGATCTACTGAGATTTTGTTATACTAACATTTTTCTTCTCACAGGTCCCCATGAGATTATCATTGTCCCATCTCAGCAGGAAGTAGTTTTGAGAATTCCATGCCCCCTCTCCCTACTATTGATATTATAAGATAGTTTACACCTGTTAGTGTTAGTTTTCAATTATTTTAGAGTTAGGATTGGAAGGAGGTGTTCAGATTTGGGTGTTTCTTTCAGACAAGTTTAGGTTTAGATAGAATAGATGTTTGATACATTTTGTTCATGGACACAAGTTAGTTGTCCTTTTTAGACTAAAAGGGGAATTGTAGGAGAAAGCCTGTATGCCCCCATTAACGATGTGACTTACTAGAGGCACATACAGATGAGGTAATAAAAGGGCGGTTTACTACACCCACTTTAGGCATGACTAAAGACGTATACGGCCGGACGTAAAGATGTATACGTACGTAGGTGGTGAACTACATCACTAGCCAGGCCCTCTTTTGGGCATGGCTAGGGGGCGTTACGGGGGAAGGCATAAAAGACAGCACACAGGAAGTCTCGGTCTCTTTTCCTGGAGTTCGGCTTCCGGTTTGGCAGCGGGAAAACTACTTGGCTCATCTGGGTTACTTGTTTGGTATCTTGTGAGTAATTTCTACAATAAATACTTAGTTTTACTTTCAGTAAGTGTGTTGCTTATCGTTACAGCGTCCCTTGGAGCCACAGGGGACAGGGTTAAGGAGTTCAGGAGTTTCACAGCAGGAGCTGGAGGGAGGAGAATGAGGATCAGGTCATAGCTGCCTCAGCATAGTGCATTCCCATATGGAAAGCAAAGGGAAACATCTTGCCAATGGACCTCACCCAGCCAACACATCACTCTGTTGCAGTCAGCTTTTGATTGTACATTTGGTAGTATTCATTTCATGACATTAGGTACATCTGTGTGCTGTTGTTTTTAACAAAATCTCAGTCATTCCACTTTACCAGTAGAGACAGGGGAACCAAATGCTGTGGTGAAAACCTACTAACTCAGAAAGGCAAAGAAAGCACCCTGCCCTAATCCTAACTCTAGGACAAAATGATTTTTACAACAGAAAAGTATTACCTTTGAATTAATAATACTTCTGAGATTTTGAACCTAAATGTACCTTAAATATGTGTGAATAAATATACCGATATCCTCATTTCTCTTTACACACACACACACACACACACACACGTATTACATATTTAAGTGTATATCTATTGATCACAAAGGACATTGACTTTGAATTTCAGTCTGCCCTTTACAGGTGGGTTGCAAATTTAAATCACTGTAATTCTTATGTGCCTGCTTCTGCCTCCCAAGTGTTGGCATTGAAGATGTGAACCGTTGCCTGGTTATGGATTCCTTAGAGTAATTACTCTCACAGAATTATCCTGGTTTAATTTGGTTCCCCATTTCCCCTTATTTACAGTGTTACAGGTAAACTTTCAACTTTTTGTAATGTGTAATCTGTCATTTTAGTTGACTTGTTTTGGATTTGTTCCCTGGCAAGTTTTAATATTCTAGTCTTAATTAAGCATGATGCCACTTTATTCACTAATTCATTTATTTTCAGTCATTTTTTTCTGTGTTTCTTGTAAGAGCTACATAAAATTTAGCATCTTTGCTAGGGTGTTCCATTTCCATTCATGCTTTCCATGACCAGATATCTTTGCCATTTATCTGCCAGTTAGTGGTTTTCTGTTTTGATGACTACATATCTATACCATCACAAATGCATGCACCGGTAACTGGAGAGAATAGAGACTTTCCTTTTGTTTTCTTGTTGTTCTTATAGCCAAAAGTGCTGCCATTAACTCAGTGTGTTATGCTGATTTTGTGGATCCTTCCTTATTGTTGGCCATTTATTCCCCATGTTATAGGCTGCCACTTCCTATTCATTTTAGCTCCATCAGTGGTTGATGAACCATCAGTAAAACATGAGTTAAGCAAGCGTTGTGACCATTCTCTTTGTGCCCAAAGTACAAGAGTTGCCCATTTTGGGGGTAGGGCAAGTGGTTTAGAGATGGGGATTATGGGCAACTGAGTTATTTCCTCAGTGCTCACTGTGGGAAGGCACTAACCCTTTTGCTGCCACATCTTGATGACAAAGGAGTTCAAATAGATTTCTGTTCCACTGTAATACCTTTCCTTCCATGGCTAAGCCTGTGAATATTCTGCCTAAAACAGATCTAAAACAGCACTGAATGGGTGCCCTATAACCCTAGTGCAGTTGGCAATGGCTGAGTATAAGGTCCTGTATACCTCATCTCAAAGAGAGAATATTTTTCTCTGTATATATGTAAATCATTTGCAATGGAATCCAACAATCAAATGTTGGTGCACTCTTTTTTGCTTTATGAAAAGCCTCCAGCTGCCAATTCAACAATAAATATGGTATCACTAATTACTGCATCATCTGGTTCAATACTGGTCAAGGTTGCATGCACCTGGAGAAGCTCTTACCAGCTGCTCTTTGATCCTGTCACCAGTATACATCAGTTGCCTTTCTGGTAACCCTGTAGTGGGTTTTTATGCTAATCTGCAACTATGATATGTGATTTCTATAATATGCAGACACAGCAATTAGGAGTCTTTCCTGAATTTTGTGCCTTGATGTTGGGATTAAAGGCGTGAGCCACCACTACCTTGTTCGCTGTAGCTCTAGAATTTAGAAAGCAACTAATTTTGAGATCCACCAGGTTCTGTTAGGATTAAAGGTGTTGGGTATCACTGCCCCGCTAAATGTTTTATCTTAGCTCTAAACCCCTCTAACTCTTATAGATTTAGAAAACAAATTTGAACTGTAGTAACCCTTAGAATTTACTTAAAAGACTTTGAATCTCTTAAATGTGTTTTTAATACCAAAAAAATCCTCCCCCCGAAAAAACCCAATCGTCATGTGAAATGTCCTTCCTATAAAAGTTATATTTAAGAAGAAAACTAAAGAGCTAACGTGCATGATGGCATGGTTCATGCGGCCATCTACAGTCTAACATACTAAGATGGAATTAGGACACATGGTTTAAGAAAGCACACTTTCCACCTCACGTCAGTAAGGCCTTTGGTAAATTTTAATTTGATAATAGTATTTTTTATTATTTGCTATTTTTGTGATATCTCGTTTGTATTCTGACAAATAAAGTTTGCATGTTGTCAGAGTGTGGAGGTAGCCACTAGTTAACCA